TTACGCGCAGGGTGCCCTTTTAAAAGCCTTAACCCCTCCCCCCCCCGTTCCCGCGGTCTTCCTCCTCTCCGAGCGGCCGGTTCGGCGGAGTCGCTCCTCTTCGGACGCGCGCTGATGTCAAGATGGGAGGATGGGAATTCCGCGTCTCCTTGAATGTATAGTTTTATCTCCACCCGTCGCGTCACATGACACACTGTATAGAACTACGCCCATCATGTTACCGTCGGTCCCCTGTCTACACCTAGGCGCTCCATCAACGTGCGTCAAACGTTTACGCTGTTATGCACGCGTCGAAAATGTGCAACGCACTTGCGGTGCCGTGACTGGTTGCGCAGACGGGAAACCGCACGCGGGGGGGGAAGCACGTCGCCGTATTTGCTACACGAGCAAAGTTCTCATAGAAATCAACGGGGACGCGCGGGGGAGAAAAAAACATCCGTGAACGCGATCATGTGAATGGGGAGTTGCAGTCTGACTTGGTCATTTCAGGGTGCGGTATTTGTGCGTTTACCACACGCTATCGCCCCGCAAAGGTCCCACAATGGCGCGCATTGCGGAGCCGTTCTGAATGGCAACGTGATACGCCGTGGCTCATGGCGTCTGCTAAACGCACGGATGCGTCGCTGTACTACAACGCCGTGGTTGGATCGGGTCCTTACATAACGCACGTGAACAGGAAAAGATAGAGAACAGTTGTCTTCTACGTGTCCCGCCCGCTACGTTTACACTAAACAGAGTGGATAGGGGAGGGGGGGGATTCCCCTGCTGGTTATTGTATTCAGACAGCCGGCGCCCGCGGATGTCCGAATATCCGAACAGTGACTGCAGCTGATTAGCAACAGTGACTCTTCAACGGCCATTTTTCACCTCGGCAATTTCGGCCAACTTGCAGGAATTGACGGACATCCTGGCAGCGCAGTGTATGGATGGGGGAGGGGCAGTGTATGGATGAGGGAGGGGCAGTATATGGATGGGGGAGGGGCAGTGTATGGCCAGCTTCAGGGTTACTGGTACGGCTGCGTGACGTGACCCGTATAATCCGGCCAATGTGGTACGGTTGCCGTGTCTATACAGCCGTACAATGTATGCAGACACGTGTGTTGATCGGCATCACGTGTGTACGTTCCCCGGGGTGGTCTAGGAAACTGCCACCCACCCATTGAGGTGTTCTGGTATTTGCATAACTCCTCCCACGAGCCAGCCCACCGCTTGTATCAGAGCTGAGGGCTCTTGAGCAGAGTACGGAGGGCGGGGCGCTGCGATGTTTTCAGGAAGCTATGTACCGCCCCCTTGCCGGCCCCTCCCACCAGCCGCCATCCGCCCGCTTTGCTTAGAGAAGCACATAGACATTGTCATGTAGATGAGGGGAAAGGGGAGGAGCCAGGGAAGGCCAACAATAAGCCGATCAAACTTCTTTTTGCCGCCCGCGTTTCCCTTCTTGAGTCGTCGGACGCGGGGGTGCGTTTTTTATTTTTTGGGCCCGGGGTAGCTGATCCTCGGTGACCCTCCGCAGACATTTACAGCCCGTCGCTTCCCCTAAAATGAAGCCAAAATTGGCCGCGATGGCGAATCCGCGAGTGACCTCCTAGGACGTTCCCGGGGGAAAAGAGTTTCAAGGGCACCTAAAAGCTGGCGGTGGCTGGTGGGGGCGACCCGCGGACTTTGTCGCTGCGTCCTCCAAAATGGGAAAGGAGAGGCGTCGCGGCGGAGCGTCCATTCCCCCGGAGGTCTGCGTGACATTTCCCGGCACGCTGTGTGTGTGGGAAGATGTGACGGCGGGTGATGGAAGGGTTAACCCGGCCCGGCCGTCCGCACGCCATCTGTGACGGGGAAACGCTCAGTAACTCAGTGTTCATTAAAGAGGAACCCCGGGCTTATAAAAAATGAACCCTTGCACCCGGCACTGCTCATTTCCCGCCTGGCTGTTAGACCGGTCCGCGCAGCCCTTTCGTCCCCGAGCTCTGGTGGGCTAAGGACCGCTGATGTCCATTGACTTGCATGAGTCAGTGTTCCTTAGACCACTGGTGTGAAGGGGAGGGGAGGCTGCGGGGACTGGACTAGCAGCCAGATGGGACCGAGGATCAGGTGAGACCTGCAAGTGTTACTGAACTGCTGCAGAGAAAAGTCAGGTCTGTGCCGGGCAGTGAAATCTCAGCACTGGATGGACATTGTTTGTACTCACATCCTGTTGGGAAAGGAAGTGATGGCAAATCTCCCTCCAGCGGAGACGCAGACATAGAGCGGGGAAGGGTTGTGTGGGCATTGTCATGGAGACGTACACGCGTGTGTCACGCAGACCGTCATACAGAACCGTTTAGGTTGAAGGCAGTGAATGGCCTTCTAGTGGTGAAGGGGTTAACTCCGCCCATGAGCCGCTCGGGTGACACTGCGCGGGTGACACGGGGTCACTGACAGTTCCCGCCAGCGGGGTCACATCTGCTCTGCCTGTGTTGTCGCAGGAGCGGTCTCTCTGGTGGGGGGGCCCCTGTAATAGACACAAGTGGGGGCCCGCTGGGTCTCTCTGCACTGCGAGGGGAAAGTGCAGAGTAAGGGGGACTATTCACGGAGGGGCTGCAGGGCCCCGGGGCCCCACAGGGGAAGTGGAAATTTCTGGCTCTGGGGCCTCGGTGACCAACAAGGCTTCTTTGAAATGCTGCGGGTGGGGGAGGGGTTATATTACTGACAGGTGTTTTATTTCTGCCCGTGACTCCATCCAGGGGATTTCTACTTCTGTAACAGGAAGTAAGGGAACGGGGGTCACCTGGGACAGGAAGGCACGGATAGGGGTCACCAGGCCAGGAAGGCACGGATAGGGGTCACCAGGCCAGGAAGGCACGGACAGGGGTCATCGGGACAGGGAGGCAGAGACAGGGGTCTCCGGGACAGGAAGGCAGGGACATGGGTCACCGGGACAGGAAGGCAGAGGCAGGGGTCTCCGGGACAGGAAGGCAGAGACAGGGGTCTCCGGGACAGGAAGGCAGGGACATGGGTCACCGGGACAGGAAGGCAGAGGCAGGGGTCTGTTGTCTGCGTTTTGTTGCGATTTCTTTATCTGGTAATTTGTCGCCGGCGGCAGGAATGTCGGCGCCGGTGACCGTTCCATTCCAGTGCTTATAATCACACGCATCAACGCATGTCCTGACACACGTTACTGTGCACGGTCTCCCGTTCATTATGAATGGGCTGCCAACGCACCACGACGGATGGAGAAACAAAAGTGCACCACAACGCACAGTATATGTGAGCGCCACTGACCACACTGCCTGGCAGTGAGTGTGTCGTCATACGTTGTCGCAGCGACGCACACGCATGAATTGGCCCTGAGTGTGACAAGGGGCCCCCGCGCAGGAATAACCCTCACGATCCGCGGCCGCCAGCATTCCCGGGCCAGCGGCGCTGTGTTTACAGACGGTTCGGTGTGGCTGAGCGCTGGTGGGGCGGGTCTCCGGTCCCGTCATCCCTCAGTGATGAGAAGAAGCCGGATACAAAGTGTCCGGACTGGAAACGTGCGTTCCTTGTCCTCCGTGCGGGAGACGCAGTTCTGGCCGTACACAGAAACAGAACGCACGACTTCCTGTGCGTTCCCAGCCCCACAGCGTGTCCTCTCTTCGTGCGACTTCCCGGAGGAAACGCGCTCGTCTCGGCCACTCCGGGGCGGCTTGTCCTGTCATTGCCGGGGAACGGATTTCACCGGGGAGGGGTTCAGAGACTTTAATGTCCCTCCGAGTCACCCCGGGGACACAATGACGCCGCTTTTCCCGCACGCCGCCGCTG